TTCCATATCCGATCCGAAAATCCGATCTTTGGAACCCGTTTGAGTTACTTTGAGAGGGGGTGCAAACGCAAGAGAGTCCGTTTGACCATTGAATTCGACCAGAAGAATAGATAGACGTTTGTAGATCCCCACTCAACTTGATAATGGAAACCGTTTCTATCATGTTTCGATCTCCATCTATTATTTGTGGACTATATACAACAAACCTGCCTTGACATCAAAAGATCGGTCCCACTTGGCCTGTCAACGGCGAGTTGGACCACTTCCGCGCGAGGTTTCTGCGAAGTCGACCCAAGTTAGTGGAGTCCTCGAAGCAGACGAGCCCCGAGTTCTACAGCGAGGAGGATGTACAGGAGGACCGATGCCTTAGCTTTTGTGAGGGATTGATGTGTTATACTTGATGGGAGGACGGAGGTTCTTGTTGTTTCTCACGGCTCATGGTTTATATCCATCGGAGAGCCGCTGTTTCCCGATTTGCGGATTTGAGGTGGGTCCGTAGGTCTACAAGTACTCCCAAGTACTGAAGTACTGCTGCCACAGCCTGCGGAAGAGGGACTCCTTGAAGGATTTCTGACGACTGCCCGAGTGGGGCCATCGTCCGCCGGCCATTGCTTGGACCAGCTCAATTTCTTTCTCATGCGTCTCCTTGGCACCCATGTAGACTAAGACTCGCTCCTCTGGAGATTCGCTCCTCTGGAGGATTTCCCGACTTCTGTTCGTCGTCGCCAGGTCCTGAACTTTGCCAAAGAGCATTTCATCACCGTCGGGAAGCCCCAAACGCGTCCCCTTATTCGGGATGGTTTTGGCGAAGTTACCAGGTGGAATACCGGAGGATACCATGGGTAGGCATCCAAGATGTATCAAGGTCTCTTGGAGAGGTCGGTCATGAGAACAATGCAACACTTGTGGAAAACCAAAAGACTGATTGAGAACGGTTGAGACCTTGGAAGCATGAGCTCTCCAAATCGCAAGTGGCAGGAGCCAATGAACTCTTTTCATTCCAATTTACCAATGAAGTCCTTTCATATCCCAATTGATCAATGCCGAAATGAGCCAGGTCGTGGACGTAATGTGTCACGAAGAGGTAGGTTTCAGAACGGAGGTCTTTGGACAACTTCACAGGCCTTGTTGCAGAACCCAACATTGGGGAATTGCGTCTTTTGGGAGAAGAGCCTGCAGTATGATGATTCAATCAAAGACGAGAAACACTTTTTGTTCAACAAAAAGACTCCTGAAAGCACGCTGTAACAAGTCAACCTTGGACCTGGATCTCAACAAGAAGCCGCTGCAACTCAGCAAGCAACAGGAGGTATTTGGATGATTTAAGTCTCCAAGTTCTGCGCCTGGAGTGCTGAAACTTCGGAGGTCGGGCCCAAATAGATCGATGACCCAAATCAACTTGCACAAGCGCGGAAGGTTCTGTTGTGGTACGACAGGTGTGTCCTGGAAGAAGCCGTTGGTGCGCAGTCGATGTGGGAAGCCGTACCAATCGTGCCTTCCAATCGTTCTCCAGCCGAGAGTGCGTGGTGCGGATGCTGAAAAGGCGAGCAGTACCTGGACGCCTTCCGCAGTCTGAGTCAGTCGGGTTTCCTCCACCCAGTCGGTTG